TTGCCACTTACCCTTATGTGTGATGCACAGAGACCACAAAGAAAGATACGTTGCTTACCTGTAAATGCAGCTCTTTGAGTAGTCATCTTTGCATTCACACGACCTGCCTACTGTCCCCACTTCAGTGTAATGTATCTCTCATTTAATTCAGCTTCAATACCAAGCAAAAATTTCCTTATGGAGCCATACTGTTCTCTCACTCTTGGCAGCAGCACCATACCGCCATTTTCCTCTTGGTCCCAAGGCTACAATTAATTGGTCTCCATGGAACTGAGAGAATTGCAGGGGGGACCTGTTATGGATATGTACACTGGATATTGGAGGAGAGGTTCCCACCAAACATTTCTCAGGTATAGAAGGAATTCCTGAACAAGACTTCATGCAGGTGCAGGTTCCATGTTTGTGAAGGCACAGGTGACCACTTGCAGAAATACAGTTGCAGGTAAGCAGTCTGTCTTTCTTCAGCATTCTGTCCTCCATGTTGCGTAAGCTGAAACTGTTATGGAGGCCATGCCTGGTTGAGGTTTAGGGTCACCAGTATGTGCATGGCATCCAACTCTCTTTCTCCTTTTCACCCTGTTCCAGGGAGGCTGCTGAGAGTCCAGGCTGGTACTGGGAGATGGTAATGGACTGGATGTGGGCTAGCATATTTAAATGGAATCCAGACAAGATAGGGGTGCTTTTGATCAGTAGAGCTGAATTAGATTGTGGTTCAACCTGTGTTGAATGGGGTAGTAGCCCCACTGAAAACATAGGGTTGTAGTCTGGTGTTCTTCTGAGCTCAGTCTTGACCTCAGAACCTCAGTTCTCTCCGGAGTGCCTTGGACCAGCTGGAGCAGGCTTGCCAGCTGCATGTGTTCCTGGAGAAAGCAGGGTGACACCTGGCTCCCTCCCATCATGGAGTGCACTCCACATAAAGCTGCCTTTCAAGAATATCCCTAAACTGTAATTGATCCAGGAAACAGTCACTGTCTGCGCAGAGCATGTGATGCCCTTGTTGAAACACCTGCCCTGGCTTCCCGTTTAAAGTGCGGGGATGACCTTTCACACCTTGAATGGTTTAAGGACAAGGATACCTTCTGCTGTACCTGCTTTCTGACATTTCCTTTGAAAGTTCTTTTTTATGTCTCAACAACCCCTGAAATGCATTTATTTTATTTTATTTATTTAAAACATTTCTATGCCGCCCCCATCGCAACAACGCCTCGGGGTGGCTCACAACATAATTAAAAACATATAAATAACACTAAATACAATAAAGATTAAAAAAAACCGGTAACATCTCGGCTAAAAATTTAAAATCCTATAAATACATAATAAATTAACAATTAAAATAAGTTTTAAATAAAAAGGTCTCAGCCTGGCACCGAAAAACAAATAATGACAAATAATGATTTAGGTGGGACAAGAGAGAGGACCATGGCTGAACTTGGGCATGGAACTGCCTTTCCCAGTAAAAACCTTTAAAGAGCTAGCAAAACCTCCCTTTTTAGAATAGCCTTCAGCAACTCGCTTTTACAGATGGACAATGGATGGTCACCCCACCGAGCAGTGTAATTCTTTCAAATATCTAGAGATACAATTCAATGAAATGCTCGGTCCTGAAACCCATTTCAATTCAATGAAATGCTTGGTCCTGAAACCCAATTTGCAAGATCAATAATTATTCAGAAGATCTGAAATTCTTCTTTTCAAAAAGGGGCAACTAGTAGAACAGTTCCAGAAACATTTATGGGAAACACAGTTGCCCAAATGTGTCATGGCGTTAACAAAACACAACCCCACTAGAAGTACTGCAGAGCAAATGATTAAAATCCTTGAGCTGCCTGCAGTACTTTTGAGAACAGAAATTGGCCATCCTCTGTCAGGACAAGAGTAGACAAGAGCATGATTCAGTATTGGTGTGGATTAAATGAAATGGCCAGTTTGAGACTCTCACAGAAATGCTCATATGAGCAAATGAAATTAGGGAGTTCAAAATTGTCAGGCTATAATAGGGCACTGTTTAGTACGTGGCTTTCAGCCTAGACTTGGTAAACAGATTCTACAATTCCATGCATGTATACACAGGGAATTCTTAACGATAAGCAACTCTTCCCCAGGGTGTGCCATCATTAAAAGCTCATCAGTGTGCAAAATACCAGCAAGACATCACCTGTCCACAGGTAAGGAAATATTTTACAGAACTCGGGTCTCAGAAGGTGTCCACTGTTCCCCTGGAAAGCATGTATAGTCATATCCCAGAAAGGGATAGTTTAAGCCTCCGTAGTGAAAGGGCAGAATGGCATTCTTACTCTCAGATGTACACGAATGTATACCCCGTCATGTTGCATTGTTGGCTATATAGCAGTTCAGAAATTTGAGCTGGTAGTATGGGGAAGGAAGCCGCAATGGACAGTAAAGACCATCTCCTAATTAGATAAGCCAAGTTCATCTAAATATGGGTGTATCTCTTTTTTATTTTGCGGGTATTTTTAAAGGAAAGTTTTATTTTACCTATAGTTGATATCAAATGTGAATAGGGATTTCAAATACTCCCGGCCTGTGCCTTTGCTTAGGCATTTTACTTTTGTCCTACTTACAATGTCCTTTGGCTAAAAACAAGCTTTTGGAAAATTATACTCCAGTGGATAATTTTACCTTGCTGTTTTTAAATATTTTGGATGGCGGTGCATTGTGCTTTTATGTTTTATATTACAAAAGTGGAGTGAGTTTGGACCTCCAGACACCCTAGCTGCATCCACAAGACCTGGTGCAGCGTCACCAGAAGTAATTTTAGCTGCTTACCCCCAAGGGCTCTCAGTCCCTTGGGAACAGCTGGCCAAGAATCCCACTGGGGCTCCTGCACTGGGCATCTTTGCAGCCCCGTTGTGCCCTCAGTGAAGCACAACCGGGTCGCGGGTTGTGTCCAGCACATTGTGTGTAACCTGCTTGCCTGTTGTCGGTTTGCTTGACAAATAACCTACCATGCTCCCTTGTGAGCTTTCCCCGTTTCATCCCCAAAGCACACGGTCTGGGTTTTGGTGAAAACCAGGTAAAAGATTTATTAGAGATTCAGGAAAAGGTACAGGATGGGGGAAAGGCTGGTCAGATACGGAGCACAAAGCAATATGCAGATTAAAGTGGCCATTCAATGGCAAAGGGCAAGCAAACGAGAATGGCGCAGCACCACTAGCATGCCGTGCACAAGCCTCCCAGCTGGTCCTCTGAAGACCTCCTGCATCTACACAGAGCTCTCCATGTCGGGCATCCCCCCTTTTGTGTGGGGAAAACTTTATTCGGAGCCCTGGGTTCTTCCCTATGCCTGCCTCGAGTTCCCCTACTTCCTGGGAGACCTTCCTCACGACACTCACGCTGGAACAGGAAGATCTGGAGCTTCTTCTGCTAATACAATCTCAGGCCTGCCTGGCCTGGCCTGGGATCCCAGAAAGCCCTCTTGCATTTTGTCTGCTAATGGCTCATCTGCAGAGGAGACGGGAGCCACCACATTATTTATTTATTTAAGAGGCAGTCTCTTCCGCCTTGTCTCTGAAGGGAGGCTAAGTGGCTCATAAGAAGTAAATAATTTAAGAATTAAAAACATCCCTCCAGTACTTCTCTGGTTTGCACCTAAAATATAGGAGGGGTATCATTGTAAAATTAATGAATGACTAAGTAAATTGCATTCGCAGCCCGTTTTGCTAGGATGGGCAGTAACGTCATTGGTGAAGCGCAGGCAGCAACCTTTAGCTCACTGCTCCTCGACAGAAATGTGTTGATGACAAGAAAAGGGAGTGCCATCAAAAGTACTCCAAGGACAGGTAACGGGGCCTTTCTGGAATGTCATCTTTCAAAACTGCCTTGTCAAGGTGCTTGTGTGAGAAAGCTCCCAAAGAGTGGGTGTGGCAGAGGGTTGTGCTGTGAACCAGGAAGTCCCTGCTTCGAATCTCACCTTTGCCATGAACTTAAGCCAACCGCTCTTGAAGCTGGCGGTTGTAGGGCAGGGTGTGTTGTGTGCATAGGCCTGTCATCCATCACCTTCTGGTTTCCTGCCTACTGGTATCTGTGTCATTCTTCCAAATGGCAAGGCCATTTGTCCCCGAGGATTGGAGGGAGCTCAAAGCGGAGGAAAAGGGAGTCGAGAAAGATCCACCTGGCCTGCTTCTCCTCTTCCACCAAAGCATTTTTATTCTGGCAGGGACTTGACAAGTTGGGCTGGTGAATTTAAAGGAGTGGCACCTTGATTTTAAGCTCTGGTCTGCTGTAGCTCTTCTATTGTTGTGTTTTCTTACCATTGCGTTGCTCTCTTTAATGATTTATTTTATAGCTTTAAACATTTCGCTAGCCATTGTTGCAAACAGAAGTAACATTAGGATTCTCACTGGACTGTTCGCACATGCACGCATGTGAACTCTTTTGGCTAAATGCGGAAGTTGCTTTCCTTTTTCTCATCTAATACAGGCACCTCCCCAGTTCCTCACATTCATACGCATCCATCCAAAATGACTTGTCTGTGTGGCTTATACTTAGAAGGCTCTGGCACTTCTGAGGTCTTTCAGTTTAATAATTTGCACCTTTCTTTGCTTTGGTTCTTGACCACAAAGGAATTAGTGAAAGAATTAATTCCCTGTGTAAATCTGGCAACTTCTCAGCCTTTTAAGAATTGAATTTATTTATATACTAACTTCTTCAATTTCAGGAAGGATGTGTCTTTCAGTGATAGACTTGGCTTTAGATAGCAATTAAAAGTAAATTGGCCAGGTGTCTTTGTTGGCAGGTCTACATATATTACCCATTACATGTCTGTTTTAGCACTGCTTTGATTAGGTTTCATTATAAAATGGGTTTTGTAACTGTAACTCAGTTTATTGATTTTCTCATATTTCCAAATATATATTTTAATCAGTAAGAAAAATCCATAGATAGTTGGATTAATAGATAGTTACATTCATTTAGAGTAAACTGTAGTTTTATAAGGTGATCATAAACCTTATTATAAGGTATCTATTTACTTTGTTTAGGGTCAAGTTATGTTCAGAAATGGAGAAAGGATGGGGACCATCAAATTTACACAGTTCCAAGGTAGGTGATGAATATTCATTTATTTCTTTGCATTGATGTTATTATTGTAAATATCAGTCCAAGCATGTGGTTTGGAGATGCATTTGCCCTCTAATACCAGCTTCATGTTGTATAGCTTGAAAGGAAAATTACTGAATATGTGGTAATAAAATATGGCAGAGGGCCCAGAAATAATGGACGTTCTTTTGTTGGTGGCAGAAAATGCATCTGTTTGAAACTCTTAGTTTTACGTCTTTGTATAAAAATATAAATGGAATCATACGTGTGATCTAACGTGCAACATTGGAGCAGAATGTTGAAAAATTGTATTAAAGAATAAAAGAATGTATTGAGAGAATAAAACACCAAGCACCAATTTCTTACCTCCCTGAAGAGTGAGACAAATTTAGAACATTTTAAAACTTTCCTGTAAAAAAAAAAAACAGAAAACATTTTGAAACCTAATCAGAGGTGGATGAGGAATTGTTGAGGAATTTCAGACAATGGTGTACCTTTAGAATAAGCAAGTATGTAAGTTTAATCCAGAGGTTCTCATACTTTTTGAACAGGGGCCGGTTGACAGTGGGGAGGCATGCACATGCGAGGCAAGGTGGAAAGGGGGGTGTGCGGGGCGGGGCGCCGGCTTGCTCACAAGGAGATCATTTCCGAGTGAGTGCAAAACGACCTCCTCACAAGCAAACCACCACTCGGCGAGTTGCCGGCTTGCTTGCGAGGAGATTTTCTCCAATCAAGTCCAAAGTGATCTCCCTGTGAGCAAGCTGCCGCCAGGGGAGGTGCTGACTTGCTCATGAGGAGATGGTTTTCTCCAAGCATTTCCAAAATGACCTCCTTGTGAGCAAGCCACACACACATCCAGCGAGTGCAAAACCTGTGGGGCGGGCCAGTTAAAAGGGCATGGTGGGCCGGATCCGGCCCGCTGGCCTTAGTTTGAGGACCCATGGTTTAATCCTTCCCTTGTAGAGACATTTGTCATAGTCTGTACTTTTGTGAACAATGTTGCTTGAAAGAAGCAGTTAATAAATTTTGGATTCCAGGCTTACTTTTATTTGTTGTATTCTTCCTTCATGTTTGAAAGTTGGTATAGATGACTGAAAGGGTTTTTTAAAGCTGCTATCAAATAGTTACAAGTGTTAATTCGTTAAAGAATCTTTAGTCAATTTACAGGACACTTCTGTGTATGTTTACTCAAAAGGAAGTACCATTAACTTCAATGGAACTTACTTCCAGGTAGATTGCATAAATTGGGTCTAAGACAGGCTACAGCCCTGAGGGTATTGGGACCATTTCTTCCCTCTCAAACCCTCTGTATCAATCAATCAGTGCCAGATTTTTTTTTAATCATTGCCCAGAAAGCAAGCAGAAGGTTCAGAATTCTTGAATTCGGAAGGGGGAGTGTTCCATAGTATAAAGGATTTCTTTCTAGCTGCAAATGGTCCTGCTGAACAGATACAGGGCAGGATGTAGTTCGACAGAGGAAGATGATGGAGGCAGAGCAATATGGGGGGATATGTTCGCTTAGATACAGGGTCCCAGCCTGTATAGGACATATAATGGCATCCAAGTGTAGCTGCGCAGCAAAGGCTGCACCTGACTGTGCCTTGCCTTGATTTATAAAAATGCCAATCTGCTTCAACACAGTATTAGGGCTAATGGAAGCTTCCAAGTCATCTCCAAAAGCAACCAAATGTAAAACATGCTACGGTAGTTGATCCTGGAAGTTAGAGATTCATGGCTCGATGTGACAAGGTCCCTGTCCTCCAAGATGGGATGCAGGCTACTTGAAAGATTTATTTTAAACATTTAGCACAGGGTCCATAATCCTGCCTAGAGAGTCAGCATTAATCACTGTGATAACTTGGCTCTACTGATAACTTTATTTACTGATTAAGTTGTTCAGATCCTATTCACCTTGAATGCTGCTCTCAGTAGTGAGCCTGTTTTAAAAGATTAAATGCAAATTGTCATTCCAGCGAGCAAATCGCAGCTACAGTGGGAGGAGGGATTTAATTCAGGAAACAGATTGTATCATAACCCCAATCTAATTGGCATACACACCCCTCTGCTTTTAAGCTTCTTTTCTTCTACCGTAGGACCTCAAATAAGTGCACTCTAAGCCAGGTGTGGGCAGACTTCAGCCTTGCACAATCCACTTTGGATTTTTTACTAGAATTCCAAGATCCATTATCTTAAAATGGAAGCATTCTGAGCCCAGGAGTTTGTTCTGAGGACTGAACAAACTCACAATCCTTTCACCCCAAAATCTACTCCCTTTTGCCTCAAGTTTTCTTATTTCAGTAGTAAGGGGAGGCCATACTAATTTACTGCAGATCATCCAGAGCATCAAGTTCTACCTTCTTCTCATCGCTCCCCTAAGGATTTGGGAGCTGCGGTAGCCTTAGCTAGTCCTTTGAAACTGTGATCAGATGGATGGACCTGAGCAAACTGGAGCTGAATCCAGACAAGTTGGCCATGATGCTGGGAGTACTTGTGCCTCGGAGATGTTAACTATGTCAGTGGCTAATGGGGTGCTGGTCACCCCACTGATGTACATGTTGTTTTGATGTAAGCCTTAAGCTTATGTTGTAAGAATGCTGTGGTATCCAGCACTTATACTTAAGCCTGTAGCTCTTGAGAAACCATGGTGGAGGCTCCTATGAACCGGGGAAGGAGATTCGATTAGTAACCCCTGCTCAACTTCTGATCCATGCATTCATAATGACTACAGCAGAAGTACCACCAACTGTTTCTGCAAAACATCCTCTCCTTGAATATTTAGGAATCTGTTAGCTCATAAGGCTCCAGGAATCTTTGGCCATCCCAGCTTTGTGAAGATGGGTAGCAAGATCAATCCATGCCTTGACCAGGTAGTGATCCAGCTACATCACCTTTCTAATATTGGAGCCACCAATTACCAGAACCCTACCCTGTCCAGGTTGTATCTTCGAGCAGAAGAGCACTTATGCCTCCCCTGTTCTGGGAGGCCAGAATGCCAAAATCCTGTGCTACGACCCACCGGCAGCATCTTGACAATTCCTCAAAGGATAAGATCTACTAGATGTGGAGCAGATGGGCGGAAAGAAGGTGTTGCATTTAAACGATGTGTTGTTGCAATGCAGTGTGTGGGTTAGCCTGTGCGAACTAGCCTGCATTGTTTGACATGCTCCAAGTCTGATTTTCTGTTCCACTAGTATACTCACCATATTAAAAATCTGCACAAGAAGTTCATTCCTTCCTCCTGTTACACCACTAACAGCTTCTTTCTCAAATATTTTTTTCCAAGCCAGTTTTCCTTCTGGGCCTGCAGCCAACTTGATAGGATGTATGAAAATATTGTGAATGGGCTTTGATTAGTGCTAGTTAAAACCCAAAAGGTTTGGAAAAGTCTTATGTGGATTCTGCCTGGAGGCAATTGAGCACTATTTCTGTGCATGAGAAATAATTAGCAAAGTAAGTCTGAGGAGTGCTTCACACATGCACGAATATAACCTGCTTTGTCCACATTTGACTAGCCACTTAATGTGTGAATCAGCTCCATTCACAAGCATTGTGAGTGGCCTGATAGGAAGGCTTGCTTTGGGCTGCTAAATCTATAATAGCTCACTCACACTTGCAGTTAATGCTGCGCTTGTGAAGGTGCGAAATGTGTGTGCACGTCTCAAACTTTGATGGCTCTGTCTTCTCCCTTCAGAAGGGCACGCGTCCTTATTTAGATCTACATGCGTTGTGTACAGACATGATATAGATGTTTCAGCTTTTTAATTTCTCACTTCTCTAAATGCCTCCAACAATTTCTTCTGTAGTCGCTAGCCCACAAAAATGTGCTGATTTTTTCTGTATCAAGTCAGAAAGCTGGAGGTGCAACCGTTCATTTTCGTTGTGTTCTTTCACCATCACATGTTGGCCACAATTCTGTGTAGTTGGGAGTGATTTCGTTTTTTGGGAATAAATTGAATTAAGTGTGCATACTGCTGGGTTGGACTGCAGCTAATATACCCAAGCCCACTTCAGTTAATACCTTCCAAAACAGCACCGTAAGTACATTTTCCCGCCATTATGATAATCTAGGAATGCTTGGCTTTCTCTGAGTAGCATCCTACTCAGACTCTCTTTCCGGATTTCCAGGCTCTCTTGTCTTGTGGCATCTCTTTGTGCAGTGTTGTCGGCTGAGAACTGTCTGTCATCAAACCGCCTGTCTTGCAAAGGCTTCTGGGGCTTTTCTCTAGGACACAGACACAGTTCAGAGTAGGATACTGATGGGGTTTAATGAGTTTCTCTTACCCTGTGTGGAACAGTATTGTGCCTAAGAACACGTGCCACAGTTGCACAGGAGTTTAAATGTTTTCCTTGAATTGCAGAATCCCTTGTGAACTTCCAAGTAACAAATCAGCACAAAAAAGGACAGTGACTAATTGAAAAGACTGGTGTAAATAACAAGAGTCAAGGTACATACACTACACAGAATATAAATACACATCAATTCACTGGCCGGTTTGCAGGGGATGCCGTATGAGGCGAGACTGAGGGAACTGGGTCTCTTCAGCCTGGAGAAGAGGAGACTCAGAGGGGATATATTGGTGACATACAGGTATGTGAGGGGATGTTACATGGAGGAGGGTAGAGACCTGTTCCCCCCTGCAGAGGAAGGCAGGACGCGCTCCAGCGGAGCCAAGCTCAGGGAGCCCAGGTTCCATTTGGATGCCAGGAAGCACTTCCTGACAGTCAGGACCCCGAGGGTGTGGAATGGGCTTCCACGGGAGGTGGTTGAGGCCCCATTGGTGCGGGTGTTCAAGGATAGGCTGGACGTCCACATGGTGGGCATGTCGTGAGTGGAGCCGACTGGTGCCGGAGGTCAGACTAGATGGCCCAGGAGGCCCCTTCTGACTCGCTCTGTTGCTATGTTTCTGTGTTTCACTGCATAACTAAAAATTCAACATCAAAGTTTAAGTATGTCAGATTGTACATGAAACGGGTCAAATACATGGAAGAAAAGTACACAAGCA